GCGCTCGGGGCCCGCATCCCGCCGGCGACGGCAAAACGGGACCGGGCCCAGGAAAGCTAGAACCTGGGGGTGGCGGTAGGGACCCCGGAGGCCGGCACGGGCGGCGGGGGAGGGGCGGCGACGCGGACACTCACCTTGGGCGCGCAGCGGGACGGCGCGGGGGACGGGGGGCGGGCCGTCTACACTCCCCCAACTCGAGTTCCCACTGTGTGCGAGGCCGAGTCGGGGGCCTAGCCAGCGTCCCCGGGCCTATTCCGCAGAAGGGGAAACTGAGGCTGTCTTTCGGACCTTGAACGCTCTAACACCTGAGTCATCGCCTTCAATCCTCCACCCCCAATGACAGTGTCTCCGTGTTCACGTGTGAAAATGGGGAGCCAGTGACAGATGTAGTGACTAGCGAGGCAGAGGGGCGAGGAAAGACTGCCTTGAGCACCTACCATGTGCTCGGCCGCTTTCAGTTTTAGAGTAAATAATTTCTTTTGATTAACGTATGAACTCCGAAGCGGGTGATAGGGTGCCCATCTTACAGAGGAAAAAGCAGACTGGGCAGAAACGGTGACTGCAGGCCGAGAGTTACACTCAGGAGACCAACTGTGTGTAGAGTTCTTTAGCTATTTTATTTTTAGAATTATTTATTTTATTTATCACTATTATTTTTAAATTTGTTATAGGGCACATGCGCTCACCAGAGGGAGGGAGACAGAGAGAGAGAGAGAGAAAGTGAGAAAGCAAGCTGTCAGCCCCGGGACTTGAACCGTGGTTGTTCATGTGGTAGCCCAACGTTTAACCACTATGCCACCTGGTGGTCCCTCGTCAACCTTTATAAACCTTCAGTGTCCAGAAGACGTTGGTCCCTGTGGTGTAGACAGGGAATCAGGTTGACAGAAATACCAACTGGGGAGAGGAAACTGACATCCCTGGGGACCTAGTAGGCCTCCTGCAAACCCCTCCTTCAGAACGGTAGCTCATCTGTCTGAGCCGGAACCCCAGCTCTCTCTTCCTATGACTCTGGGCACGTTGCCTTTCTGGGCCTCAGTTCCTCCATCAGAGAAATGAAGATGCTGATTGTCACTGTCTTGTTGCCCAGATCGTTTTACGAGAGAGCTGTTCTAAGAGCAAACAAATGCCCAGCACAGAGTAAGTGCTCATTTTAAGAGTAAGGTGACTGGGGACCAACAGTTAGCGTAATGTCTATGTCCCTGGATTCCCACGTAGTCAACCGCGGTTCGCATCCCAGACCCGGTGGCTTAAAACTCACGCCGGGCACGTGTGCATGCGTGCCCAAGATCCCGAGAGGAGAATGGAGGAGAAGGGATTGCGGCATGACCATCCCCCCTGGGGGGTGATTTCTCGCTTTCTGTCTCTATGTCTCTCTCTGTCTGTCTGGCGAGCGCACGCGCCCTATAGCCAAAAAAACCTCTCCAAAAAAAAAAAGAGTAAGGTGACTGAAGCTCGGGAGGCCAGAATAACGTTTTGTCATCTTACTTGATACTGGCCGTACTCTCTGCGGATTGTGTTCCGTTTCCAGGGCTGGGAAATCTGAGGCTCAGAGAGATAAAATGATGAAGCCCTGGGCTGGGTCCTTTCTCCACACCGTTTTGTTCATTTCATTGGCCGCACCTCAGAGCAAAGAGAGGTGAGGTACATAAACCTTGAGCAGGATTTGAACCCCAGAATCCTCAGTCCTCTGTGCCCCAGGTCCTTGATCTTTGCCCGCCAGAAAGAGGTGAAGCCCCAGGCGCCTCCGCCACACACCTCCCCACCCCCCAAGTCAAAGGCCCTGCAGCTCCAGGACCCGCCCCGTCCCCAGCCTGGCAGGTGCTGGGTGACATCAGAGCCGGGCTCCCGCCCCGTGACGCGACGTGGCCCCGCCCGGCTCTGGACCGCCAAGGTAGCCGCACCTGAGTGCTCTCTAGAGGGCTGAGGATTCTCGCGCCCCTCACCATCTCTCCACTCCGGCGGGTGCCCCCAGGTGGCCCAGAGGATCCGCGGGTGGAGGAGGAGGCGGTGGCACAAACGCTTGGGTCCAGGGTAGGTGGGTCCAGGGGAAGTGGAGAGGGGGACCCGGGTATCCCGGGTCTGAGTAGGTGAGGAGCTGCGAGCCCGAGCCGGATTCCCGAAAATGAGGGAGAGGGTTGGGGGGACTGCGCTTCTGTATCTGAGGAAGGAGGGGCTGGGAGCCTGGACTCCGGTCTTAGGGAGGAGGGGCTGGGGGGCTGGGCCTCTGGGTCCTGGGGATGAGGGACTGGGGGTCTGGGCTTCTGGGTCCTGGGGAGGAGGGGTTGGGGGTCTGAACCTCTGGGTCTGCAGAGGAGGGGTTGGGAGCCTGGACTGCGGATCTTAGGGAGGAGGGGCTGGGGGTCTGGGCCTCTGGATCTGAGGGAGGAGGGGCTGGGGGCCTGGACCTCTGGGTCCTGGGGAGGAGGGGCTGGGGGTCCGGACCTGGAGAGGAGGGTCTGGGGCTGGACTTCTGGGTCCCACGAAGGAGGGGCTGAGGGGCTGGACCTTTGGGTAGGAGGAGGAGGGGCTGGGACTCCAGAATCCTAGCACCAAGCTGAGGTCAGAGGCCCGATGCCAAAGGCCCCCAACCCCTGCCCCAGGGGCGGATCCCTGGCTCCTTTTCCTATTCAAGCCAGCAGTCTGCCCCTCCCAGGGCAGGTGCTTTCACCTGCCCAGGTGACAGTAATGAGCCCTGGCAGAGGGTTCCTCCTGCTGAGGGCGGGCGGGGCAGCTCTTCAGAGCCTGCCTGCTGGCGGCCCACAGGGCTGCTGTCCCTGCTCAGAACCAGCATCCTCACCTCTAGTCTGGTGCAGTGAGGTGAGAGACTGCCTGGGGGACAGGGCTGGCGTTCAGATCCTGGGTCCTGGAGGGAAGGGAGCTGAGAGCCCAGACCCCTGAGCCTGGGGGAGGGAGAATCTGGGGATCTGGACTCCTGGCTCCAGGGAGGGAGGCAGAGGGCTGGGTGATTGCAGTAACTCCCAAACTCTTCCTGGTCAAAGGCCACAGGACTGGAAAGGAAGTAGGTGGGGTGGGGGTAAAGTCCCAGGATGGAGCTTGGCTCTGAGTGCATCAGGCCGCACTGGAGGCCTAGCGCCTTGGCCATCTGGACTCTAGGGCTGCTGTTCTGAGCACAGGGGGCCAGGTGTGAGGCTGAGAACATCTGGGCCAGCAGTGGCTGGGAGTGGAATGGCTGGTGCTGGGGGTCTGAGGAGAGGGTCTGAGAGAAAGTGGGGGGACCAGTGAACAGAGCTGAGTTTCCACGTGGGAGCACCTCAGAGGGAAGGACCGAGTTCTGCAGGGACCAGTCGGGGAGTCCCAAGGGGACTGGGTGTTGGAAGGACTTCCGAAGTATGCAGGAGGTGGGGGCTAGCAGGTGCCTCTGGCCTGGCAGACAGAGGAAGAGGCACCCAGGTGGGGTGACAGAAACATCCCAGGGTCTTGTGCTGGAGTGCTGGGCAGTGACGGGTAGTTTGAGGCCATGGAAGACACAGGAGGAGGGCACCATGCCAGGTGGAGGATATTCAGCTGTTCTTCCTGACGGATCTGGAATGGCCTTGGAATTGCTGTGTCTGTCCATTACTGGCTGGGGCGCCCTGCAGGGCTGGGCATTCTGCCTTCTGCAATGTCTGGTTTGCCCCCTTGGCCCACAGCCCACATTAGAGTTTCGGGGGCAGAGGCTGGAACTGGGTCCCCTCCCTGCCCTCAGGCCAGGAGCTCCTCCAGACAGGGCCCCTGTCTGATTCATTCCCAGACCCACTGTGGGCAGAGCCTGGTACTTGAAAGGACCCGGGAATGTTGAGCAAATGCAGGAATGAGCGAACTAGGCCTGTCTCTCCATTTTTCAGAGGAGGAAGCCAGGCGGGAAGTACAGCGAGGCAGAGACTGGGGAGTTATACAGGTGTGCAGCCGGTATGACCCGAGGTGGTCAGGGAACCGAAATGACAAAAGTTAGACAATACCCTCTCTGGGGTGGGCCGGCTCAGAGCACAGGTAGCACACTGGCCAAGAGAAGCTGGTCCATTTGGGGGATTGTGGGTTCGGACCGACCTACATATACCAGGCATGCGTGCCATGGTCCTGGCTGGTTAGGAAGTCTGGGGGGGTACCATCCCATTAAGGGTGCTTATCTTTCTCTCTCTTTTTCTTTTCCCAAATAAACTCTAAAAGGCAAGAAACAAACAAATTTTAAAAAGAACATTTACTGGGCTCACATCTCAGAGTAAAATCAAAGTCACACCCTTTGTCCTTCTTTTTCCTCTCTTTTCCCCTCTCCTCCTCCATCACTTGGTTCCGGAAAAGGCCGTCTCACAGTGCCACAGACACACAGGCACGTCCCTGCCCCAGGGCCTTTGCACTGGCTGTCTGAAATGTTCTCCCTTCCTCACCTTCCTCCATCCCCAGGGCTTTACCTTCCTGCATCTCCATCAGGTCTTTATTTAAGTGCCCCATCAGAGAGGCCTGCCTCAATTAAAACTTCACTCTCAGCCCAACGTCCCTGTTCCCTTCTTGATTTCTGTCCTTGGCATGTATCGCCATTCCACGTACTGTATAATTTACTTATCTTCACGTCTGTCTCCTGGGAGCAGAGCAGCTCTGTCCAACAGAAATCGAATGTGAGCCAAATGTGTAATTGAAAGTTTTCTAGTAGCCACATTAAAAAGAAAAAGGACAAAGGAACAGATGAGATTAATGTTAATTATATATTTTATATGTATTTTATTTAACCCCAAAATCCAAGCAATTATCATTGCAATATGTCATCAAATATGAAAGTGCCAATGAGTTATCTTTTTGACCCACTGAGTATTCGAAATCTGGTGTGTATCTTACACTTAAACCATTTGGACTCTCCATTTCCATTTCAATTTAATTAAAGTGGAATATAGTAAAAATTTCCTCAGTTTCACTTGCTTTTCTCCTCCTCCTTTCTCTCTCTCTCTCTCTCTTTTTTGCAGAGGGTGTATGCACAGGGAGAGAGAGAGGGAGAAAGCACCCCCCCAATGGGGTGTGGTCACTCCACAGTTGCTTCTCCATCTTTCCAACCTGCGGGGACTTGGGGGCACGCACAGATGGGTGCGCGTTTTCAAGTCCCTAGGGGTAGCCTTGTAGGATCCAGCTCTCTTAACCACTAGGCCACAGGATGGCCTATGAAACTGCCACATTTCAGGTGTCCAGTGGGCCACGGCGGTGGCACCAGTATCGGATCACTGGGGCTAAAATGTCAGCTCTAGAAGCGGGAGTCCTTCCCTACCCGTTTACCGGTTTACTCTTATGTCGCCAACACCTAGAACTGCGCCTGCACCGCTGCTGGCTTACTAGATGAATGGCGGAGTGAGCGGGCCTGAGAGGTGTGAAAGGTCTGCTGAAGGAAGGCGAGGGAACTGCCTGGGGTGCCTGGGGAGGGCTGCGCAGTCCCGGGACCGAGCCCTACCTGACCTGTACCCTCTCTCCCTCTCTCCCCTGCAGACCATGGCCACAGTGACCATGTCGGTGCCCGGGCGGAAGGCGCCCCCCCGGCCAGGCCCAGTGCCAGAGGCCGCCCAGCCATTTCTGTTCACGCCTCGTGGGCCTGGAGCAGGTGGCGGGCCCGGAGGCTCCGGCAGCTCCCCGCAGGTGGAGTGGACTGCCCGGCGCCTCGTGTGGGTGCCCTCGGAGGTCCATGGGTTCGAAGCTGCGGCGCTGCGGGACGAGAGTGAGGAAGAGGCTGAGGTGGAGCTGGCAGAGAGCGGGAAGCGACTGCGGCTACCGCGGGACCAGATCCAACGCATGAACCCGCCCAAGTTCAGCAAGGCCGAAGATATGGCCGAGCTCACCTGCCTCAACGAGGCCTCGGTCCTCCACAACCTCCGTGAGCGCTACTACTCCGGCCTCATCTACGTGAGTATCCTCTGGGCCTGGGGAAACCTTGTCCCGGGAGGCCCAAAGGGTGTCAATACCCCAGCCTGAATCAGTGAGAGGCCATTTGCTGGGACCAGCATTTGGTGTAGTGGCTGTGTTGCTGGACTCCCATATAGTCGACCATGGTTTGAGTCCCAGACTGGGTGGCTTAAACTCACGCTGGGCGTGTGAGCATGTGTGCCCAAGATCCCTAGAGAATGGAGGGAGGAGAAGGGATTGTGGCATGTTCATCCCCACTGGGGAGTGATTTCTTGCTTTCTGTCTCTCTGTCTCTGTCTTTCTGGCAAGCACACGTGAGCCCTATAGCAAAAACCTCTCAAAAAAAAATGAGAGGCCATTTACATTTTTTAGTCACGGTGTCCTGTGACTATGTTTTAAAAGAATTATTTTATTTAACTTTATTTATTTTTATTTATTTAGTTTAATTTGACCAGAGAGAGACAGAGTGAGAAAGAGAGAGGGGGAAAGCGAGAAAGCAAGCCACCAGGTCTGGGACTCGAACCATCATTGGCTATATGGGAGTCCAGTGCCCTTAACCACTACACCATCTGCTGGCCCTCCTGTAACTATTTTATGCATAGTTGCCAGATTATGAATTATTAGGCTACCAGGAAGGCCTTAGACCCTATTGGAGTTGCATAATATATATGAATAATCTTCAAAAACTCATAGAAAATGCATAGTATTACAAAAACACGCATGGAGTCCAAAATATCTTACATCTAAATAAACTCATACTTTAATTCCATTTTCTGTGAATTTTTTGAAGTACCTCATTAAGTAAGCCATATTATTTTCCAAATGACAGAGTTCAAGTTTCTCAAGTAACTCATCCCAAGGGTATTGGGAAGGAGCTATAGATCTGTAAAAATAATTATGAGACCTGATGAGTGTAGAAAACTACTACTGGGACCAAGAGGTGGCATGGCGGTTAAGGTGCTGGACTCCCACATGGCTGACTGTGGTCTGAGTCCCAGAGCAGGAAGCTTGATTTCTCTATCTCTCTGTCTCTGGTCTCTGATGAGCACACATGCCCTATTGCAAATTAAAAACAAAACAAAACAAAATAATTCTTAAAAGAAAAAAGAAGGAAACTAGATACTCAGCTCTGTACAGAATGCTGTCCATCTGTTAACTCATTTAGTCTCACCTTAGGCAAGGTAGAATCTACTACCCCATTTTACTTAAGAGACAACTGAGTCCCAGAGAAACAAACATGTACGAGGCATTTACTAAACGCTCTTTTAAGTTCTCCAAAATTCATTGTCTCAATAATTTTTCACAATTAAAAGCATTTGGTCCTCATTTTTCAGAGAAAGAAACTGAGGCACAGAGAGGTCAAATTTCTTGACCAGAGTCGCCCAGTTAGATCTGGCAGACCCATTAGCTTGGCCCTGGGCTTTCCAACTTTGTTGTGGTGCCTTTTAAGATTAAGATGGGATTGAGGGTAGTGAGGTTGACTATGGTAGTCTACCTACCTTGCTGCTAAGCATTTGACATCCGTTGTGTTAATCTTTAACAAACAGTTGAGTTTGGACAGTAAGTAGTTCCTGGCTTCATATTAGAGTTATCTGGGGAATTCTCAGAAAATACCATCGCCCGAGCCCCACCCCAGACCGTTTAAGTCAAGCTCTTTGGGGGTGTGGCATGGCTTTTGTTTTTAATAAGCTTCCAGGGCGGTTCTAATGGGCATCCAAGGGTTTATTAATTCCATTTAACATAAGAGCAAATGGGATTAGAGAGATTGACAGGGAATGTGGCATAACAATGAAAAATACTAGTAATGGATGGCTAGCAAATATTTATCAAGCACTTCTGACGCGCCAAGCACTTTCTAAGTGCTGTGTGTGAGTTATCGACTCACCCCTGGGCCAGGGACTCCTGATATCACCTGACGAATGTTCTGGAATGTTAAGTGACCTGGGCCCTGTCACACAGCCGTGAAGAGTCATGCTGTGATTTGAACCTAGGGAACCAGCACTTATCATGGCCCAAATACTCGCTTAAACTGGTGGGCTCTCACAGTTTGCTCCAACATCCTCCCTGAGGAGGGGACAAAACCAAAATGAGAACACTCTTATGAAGTCTGGCTCCCATGGGGAAACTGAGTCTCTGAGAACAGCAGTGGCTGACTCGGAGCTGTCTGACTGGCCTGGGATTGGTGCCCCTCTCGGCTATGCTGCCTTTCTGACACCTCACATGTCTTTATGAGCCCTGGGAAAGAGGCCTCTGCCTGATCGCCTCGTCTGGCTCTCACTGAAGGCCTGGGAGAGCAGAGTGACACCCACATCATTGAGCTACCCTTTGCCTTTCTTTAAAACAAGACGAAGAGGAGCAAGTGGTGTAGTGGTTGACTTCCACTGGACTTCCACATAGCCGACTGTGGTTCGAGTCCCAGGCCTGGTGGCTTGTTTTCTCACTTTTCCTCTCTCTCTCCCTCCAGTCAAGTTAAAAAATAAATAATAACAAATAAAATTAAGAAAAAAAAAAAAAAAAAGACAAGACCAATATCCTCTTGCCTCAGCCTCCCAGCTGGGACCACCAGTATGCCCCCCACTGTTTATTTATGTCTTCCATGAGTGAGAGAGACAGAGACAGGGAGATAGCTTCCCAAACAGGGTCTCATGCTGTGATCCACCCCAGCCTCAGATCATGGGCACGTGCATGCCAGGCCCACTCAGTGAGGTCTCTCGATACAAACCCAGGACCTTTCCACGTGGGGCAGCCTTGCAGACTGGCATGTTTTACTGCTGCATCGCCATGCCCAGCCCTTCAAAAGACAAGGTCTTGCTGAGTTGTCCAGGCCAACCTCGAGTTCTCCATCTTCCTGCCTCAGCCTCCCAAGTCGTGGGGTTATAGTCCTATTGCACCACGCTCAGTCTTTCAGTTGGACCAAGACTCAAAGCTGGGCCTCCAATGTGGCCCCAACCTAGGGAGCACAGCATCTCAGCAGCTTGTGCCACTGTGGCTGGTCCTACTTTGCCTGGACGAATGCTCTGAACCCTCACAGCAAGCTCATGCAGAATCCATTGTCATCCTCATTCTATAGGTGAGGAAACTGGGCCTTAGAAAGGGGGCAGGACTTGGACAGGACCCCATAGCCAGGAGCCGGCTAAGCTGGGATTTGAACCCCCATTGGTCTGACTGTAGACCACATGTTCCAGCGAATGCACTGGCAAAATTATCTAGAAAGTTCAGAGAAAAAAAATCGTAAGGCTGAACTAGAGCTTTGATCAGAATGCCAGAGAATTGGGTTCTAAGAAGTGAAAGTGACACAAAAGTTTCCAGAAGCCCCGATAGGTGCAAATTGGGCCTTAATAATGGCCATTAATGCTTAGTGGGTACCTGTGTCTCTGCTGGGTGCTGTCTGAAACTTCTTCCCAATATGACCTTGTCCACTCCCCACCTTCCTCCTGAGACGGTAAGGTAGGGATGGTCACCTCCTCTTCCCACAGTTTGGGGAAGGGTAGCCAAACACGGGCCAGCCAGTGGCTCAGGAGGGCAGCAGTGCCT